CCACTATTAAAAAATTAATGATTACTAATCATTAGCGAAGCTTATTTCTTATATTGCCCACCTATTCTATAGAATACCCGCTAAGGATACTGGCAAAATTTTTGTAATGCAGATCAATAATCATGTGCCACTGCATTAATTAACATAATTGAAAGCATATCGATATATACTCAACCTTAATGAAACGTATTTTATTAGCATTCATAATATGTATTTTGAACTTGGTTGCACTTGATTTATGTATTTCAAGAAAGAACCCATTTATATACAATTGTTACACTTAATTCGCCTGGCATAATCACCAAAATCATCAATTAAACATTAATTAAAATAAGATCATTATAAATATTAGCTAAATAAAAGATACAATTAAAAACAGCATAAAGTATGGGGCTTTGTAGTTGAAAGAGTCGAAAAAATATGATTTTGAGATAATCAAGTTTATCATGTTCTAAAAATTTGTATTTATTGATTAATAATTTTGGGGTATTTTTTTTGTGCCGAAATTTATCCAAATCTTTTGATTTTCACCCTAAATTTACTCAAATCTTACGATTGATTTTCGCACCAAAATTTACCCAAATCTTATTGATTTTCAGGGACAGTTTGCAAAAGAATATTTTCTTAATGAGATTTATTATGAAAATCTTTAAATTGATTTGTCTTCGAAATGTCTTCAGAAACCAACTAAATACGTAAATTGTATCAACTATAAACTTTTACTAACCAAAGCTATTTTTAATTTATAGCTATATAATGGAAAATGCTTATTTGATTTTGAGTTTATTGTGTTCGGAAACTTTGTATTTGGTTAATAATTTCGGGTGATGTAATCATCTAAAATTTTTATGCAATGGATTTTCGCGCCGAAATTTACCCGAATTTTATTGATTTTCACGAAACTTGATTTTGCGCCGAATCTTATTATTGATTTTCGGGCCCTTTTACCACAAAAGAATATTTTCTTAATGAAATTTATTATAAAATTTTTTAAATGGTTTTGCCTTCGGAATGTCTTCGGAAACCCAACTGAATACGTAAATTGTATCAACTATCGTTATAGTTTTAGGTAGTTTTAAAAACTTGCATTTCACAAAGATTGCGATAAGCTTTTACTAATCAAAGCTATTTTTAATTTATTGCTAGTAAAAAACGCTTTTATTTCACTCATTCATGCTCTTAAAAGACGTTACACTTTCTTTAAGTATCCAACTTTTGGCATAGCATGAAATTTGAAACAATAGTTTTTAAACATTTCTTTTGTTGTAAGGATTTTGTAGACTTTAACAAGATCAAACGCTTACACATAAATTTATAGATCTATCAGCTCACCAGTTTCAAATGTAATTTATTTAAAAATTCATTGTATACCGTTGCATTTAGTATTCCGATCTGGCCGACCTAAATGACTCAATACTGGCATGCTATAATATATTTTATTATATAGGTGGTGATTATCCCTATAAAAATTTTTCGAAAAACGTGTCCCGGCTTTCTCCAGACTATCATTCCATTATCGATCCGGAAAATGCTCATTTTTCGGAAAAAATTCTTGATCATTTCCATAGAATCCTAATAAATTCCGGGTAAAAATCAAATCCCGGCTTCTAATTATAATGAAGTACAAATGATTAGAAGTCGAATCTTACTCGGATTTGATTTCTACACGAAAATTACCGTGATTCTATGGAAAATGATCAAGAATTTGTATGTGTTTGTTCCGAAAAATGTGCATTTTCCGGAATGATAATGGAACAAAAATCTGGAAAAGGCCGGGATACGTTTTTTGAAAAATTTTTATAGGGGTAATGTGTATTTCATATGCAAGATGTGTAGGCTACATAGTATATGTAGTAATTGATTCAAATTTTATTCAATTATATATGATTTCATTCATACATATACCACAAGTTTAATTAATTGACAATATTATACTTGGAAATAAATTGCATAAGATAATCGTAACTAAATTCCCTGCAACTCATCGTCGTTTTGCATATGCTAAGAATGGTACAACCATTGAAAACACTTTCATTAAAGAGCGTGATATCGAGGAGATTGATCCCATTAACCACGATGATCGTGACTCAATCAAAGAAGCATGGAAAAATCTATGTCTTAAAGATCACTTGCTCTTACATTCTACGATACTTGTGTTGCCAACTAACAAAAAAGGAATCTACATTATATACCGTCGTCGCGAAACCAACCTCCGTGAGGGTAAATTTACACCAGTAAACCAACTTTATCACAGAGGGAACATCAAATTTTCCAACACTCCAAAACCAGAAGTAACCGGTAATTACTCTTACGCTCCCCCATCCGATCTGAACGAGGCCAAATACATCATACCTGATCTTCATAATAATATTAACTATGACCAACTCAGAAAATTGGGGACAGTATGATGACATTTGGCAGGACGATTAAAAGAAAATTTCCATGGAAACAAAAATAAATCAACTGCAAAGTTGAACAGACGAGAACACAATAGGCGTATGCGTGATGCCCAGAGAAAACAACTCGCTGGTCCATTTGTGCATGGAAAGATCGTCCGCGTGCGTGTGTCAGAACTCGAAAAGATGGAAGTAAATATGCTA